TTCGTGCAGATAACGTATACGAAAACGAACAAATATTTCTCGATTGCGATATCATTATTAACTTCGAGATCGATTGCGCCCATTTCCGATATTATCGGCGTTTATCCACGCACATAAAATATACCAGACACGGGTTCATGTATTGATGTACTATTTATTCACTTACTAATGTGGCAAATTATATATATATATATATATATATATATATATATATATATATATATATATATATATTCACTAGGTAAAAATCAATAAAATATTACGAAATACAGTTCATGTAGTACAAGCAATCGTATAAAACACTCAGTTTACAAAAAAAAAAAAAAAAAAACACTGTAAATGCGGGCGCTAAATATATATCACATAGTTCTAAACAAATTGTGTTACATAGGAGTTTTTGAGAAAAAAAAAAAAGACTTATTACAAGTAGTATTTGATGTCCGGCAATATAAACGACATCTCGTGTTCTAATATAGACCAACCACTACTTAATAAAAAAAAATTAAGCCTAAAATTTGGCATCGAATGATGTTTAAAAACACACACTAATATTCACTTATGCATACATCTATTCCGGGATCAGAATACATTGGCTTCGAAAGTCAGGATCCGGAGATATCGCCACAAGAGGGCGTTATCACAACGAAAAAAATTACATAGACGACTTTCACGGAAGCTACGGTTTTTCGCGAGCATGCCGTGCTTCTTGATGTACCAATTGACGTAACAACATTTTTTTTTCTATCGACTATCAGTAAACTAACATGTTTGTCCGACATGACAAAGCGGGAGTATTGTTTTTTGCACACCAGTTTTACTACTTCCGGGAAAGCGGCGTCTATTCGCTTCGATAGTCAGGATCCGGAGATATCGCCACAAGAGGGCGTTATCACAACGTCAATAATTTAGAACGTTAGGTCGTTATTCTTAGTACTCGGGGAGGGAGGGAGGTAGGTAGGTAGGAGATACGTCACAAGACGTTGATAAGTCGCGCATACGACGTATATCTATAGACTCCTCGCGACTAGGTGATGTGGAACGCCGAGCGAAGAGCCGGTGAAAAAAACAAAAAAAC